TGCCAGGTGCTTTGGCTTTCTCCCATCTCCCTGAGACATGCAGGTTAGCTTGATTGGCTGCTTTCAAATGTGCCTTTCTGGGAGCGGAAGGGGGAGTTGAATGGGACTTCATGAGCTCTCTACAGAAACAGAACCAAAGGAAACACTATGAAGTCAACAGGCCCTCTCATATGTGGCCTTTAGTTTGTGGTGGTTCTAGTGTTTGAGCAGCAAGGACTTTTGACTGGAACTCTCCTGGTCCTATTATCTTCTTAAAGATCTTTAATGCCCTTAGGATATGCTAAGATTAATGAGAACTAAGAATCAGCAGCAAGCTGAGTGGCAACTAGGAAGCAACGATTACACCTGGGCTCTCAAACAATAAGTCAATTTTTTATGTGCTGTTTTCCTCTGTTTATATAGAAACCAGGTTTTCATTATATTGTTGAGTATAATCAGCCATTCAAGATACAAAACATCTGGCTTGTCCTTGACTTTCACGTTTTCCTGTTGATTAGTTCTGACTGAGAGGGAAATATACCGTCCATCACAGTGGGTTGGATTCTTCAACTGAGTACCATTTCAATAAACAGCAACAATCTCTGATTCCATAATAAACAGTTGATTTTATCAATTGTATTATGTGTTTTGAGAGGAATAGACTAATTATCTGCTTAATGTGGAAAGGTGTGTGAAACATGTGTGACAATGTATCATAAACTAGTAATTTTAAAATGTGTTAAATTAGAACTTTATCATTTCATCATCTCAGTCTTGTGTAAAATCTATTCAAATAGCAATTAGTAAAGTGTTCATTTGTATACAAATATAGAATGTATGAATAGATCCTGATGTTTATTAGACAAAAAGGTAAAAAGTCATTCAGAGACCCTTTATTTGACTGGAGACCTTAACAGAGAAAGTAAAGTTCTGATTATTCATTTCAGAATCTTCACTGTGACATTCCAATGTTTTGAACACACTTGATTAGATTTAATTTATTCTTAAATATTACATTAAAACAACTGCTGCCGGGTTTCCAACAGAAGCCTGATAATAACTCAGTGTCCTGAAAGAAAGCATCTACAATTGAGAAATGTCATATTGCTTGATCATTGCTTGCCAAGAAATATACTGTTCCCTGCTGTTGAATTTAGCTGAAGTATCAAGTATCATGATGCAAAGTTCTTATAAAATACTTTATTTATTTTTAATTATCTATATAAACTTTTGAATTTTCTTTTTACATACATATAGATATAAAATAAAACTTTAAATTCAATATTATTTATGTGGCTCTTTTGAATTGCCTGAGGGGAATAATCTGCTTTATTTTTTCCTGTATAAGCCAAAGGTCTTATCCTAAAAACCATCAACACTCTATTGGGTATAACCTAAAATGAACTGCTTAAAGACTGCTGTTTATAAGTCTGTTTATCAATTTGTATTCATAATAAAGGAAACATGATACAGGGAAGAAATATAAAAATATACATAGTTTCACTGCTGTTAAAAGCTTTCCCCCTTGCTAATACACAGCATGTTTTGACATTTCCAGAAATTGAACATGACTGACATACTGATTTTGTATAGTGTATAATGTTCTAGTCATCTAGCTGGAGAATTGTAAATGAACTGGCTGCAGTACAGCACTTGTTTCAGAACAGCAATTTAAGTAAAAAGTAAAAACAGTCAAACCTAATAGGTATTTTCTATATATTAAAGAGTTTGCTTTTTCCAGGTAACCGCAATCATAAAAGAACTTAATTCTGCTTTGTATGGGTACTCCACATTTGCTATGAATTTCTGGTTTAAATTGCTTACCAAAATAACACTGCTGAAAGACAGCAATCTGTCTCTTGAAGCTCTTCTCTGTCTCTTATTTCATAGGCTATCTCTTTTAAAATGTTTTGCTTATTATTTATTTTTTGTCTTAAGCCTTTCTTATGATGCTTAAGACAGTCTTTCCTTATGCTTGCCTCTTGTTTTTGGTAAACAGCACTGTGTATACCCTCTCTCACTGGACTTTTAAATGGTTGGTGTCCTATTTTTTTTCTCCATAGTGATTCTCTGTCTTCTCTTGTTTCTCTTCTCTATGCAGCATTTAACCCATTAGTAGTAATCCTGCAAATGTATAGTATTGTGTGGCTAAGGGGGACAGATGCTGGGAGAATGTCAATTGGATCACGGTCTTTTAGTAAGGAAAACAGTTTTAGTCAAGAGGACATTCATGGCTTTAATTGAATAACTATAGAGCAGTGAATAATTTCTTTTTTGGAGGAATGATTTATAATTCTCATTTTGTTACACATTCTTCCATTTTGCTGTCCGTTTTATATATGTTTTTGTATGCTGTAATGATGCAACATTACATTAGTATTTTATTTTACCCGCACTTGTAAGAATATGAGTAATGCACACTAGTCGTCGTCGTCACCTGTATATAGCGTACCACGTTCACCTCTTCTTAATGTCACATGAGCGTTTCGTAGTATTATAAGTATTTTCGAACGGTGCCCGGTAACACGTGTTTTTATTTGCGGATAAAACAGCTGGATAAAATTTTATTTTTGCTCTTATTTGTATATATTAATTCTTTCAAATACATCTCCGTTCCTGAGTATCATTAAACAAACGAGAAAATCATTACAAACAGGAAGACCAACCGCCTCAAAAAGTCAACAAAATGTGTGGACTTTGTGGCATTTTTAAAATGTGAAAATTGCACATTTTAAGCAGATTTCTCTACTCTTGTCTTTGTATATGTTCCTTATATTTTCAATTACGTGATTTCGACTTAATATCTAAATTACAGGAAAAAAATAATAAAAACATCAGTAATTTGCATAAAATCAATATAGAACGTAGAAACAAAGGTTTAGTTTTTATTTCATATTTAATTCTAAGTAGCACATCCCCAGTCTACGGTGAAAACGCTTTCGTTTTTAATGCGAGTTCTGTAAAGTAAAACCTTCGCCGAAATTCGTGACGTTTTTACAGTCACTAGAGTATTCAATAATTTAAACATTATCTTAATTTGTCTACATACTGTACACAAAATAACAGTTTTAAAAAATGAGCGTGGACGACGGTGCAAAAAAATTGGAATTACAGTAACTCTTCAATGTGTTCGGATTGCAAAGTAGCCAAAAAGACGAGCTGGTCAGCGTGGATCCGTGCGCAGTGCTCAGAGTGAGCTTGTTTTGAAAGGTAAACGAATTGCGGCTGTAAGAGACCGCTTCACCGTCCTCTTGTTAAACTGTTTAGTTCTGCTCCTAATTTTCTGAAGAAGTCAAACCGCTACAAAACAAAAATAAAAACGAAATTTGTGCAAAGTCATCGGGAAAATTACCTCATGGCCAGTATGATGTGAATTATTTTAAAAGCCAATGTTGACTTTACGTATCTATTAATATAGGTAAATATAAGAAACGGATGTATTCTTAAATATATGCAACGGTGTACCCGCCGAATGTTTGAACTTAAACGTACAGCACTCCTCAAATGCACGAAAGAAAGCGAGACCTCTCAAAATACAAACGTTTTGTGAACCTTGATAAACTGGTGGAAATTTTTTTAAAAAAATCTAAAGGCAAAGCCCCAGTCTAGGTGTGTATACCTGCTGCGGTATCCCCCGTGGAAACTGATTTCGGTATTTGCCCGCAAACCGTCGAGTAAAGAGCGCTCCGAACTTTTCCTCTTCAAGATCACAGTTCCTTTTCACTCCTCTCTCCCTTTCTTTCCGTTCTGCGCCTCCCCTGTGCGTCTCGCTGGCATTAGTCTGTTTTATTCCAACCCGAACCGGCTGTCGCTTTCATGGATATTGCACAACATGGAACGAACAGTGAAGGAAAAATATTTCCTATAATTATATCTGGGTTTCTTCAAAACCAAGTGTGAGCTATTGTAATAAAACTCAGTTGTTCCTCGAGTGATGTACTTGTCTTATAACCGAAAGCACTTTAACTTGCAACAACCTTCGTGTATCTATGTTTCGCTTAGCCCACTCTTAATGGCAAAACCAAAATGCATCCGCAAGTTCGTGGAAATTCAGGAACAATTACCTGCTTTGTACAAAACCATTCTGATTTACCTCATCGCTGAGCAGCAAATTATATTTTTGATATCAAACTGCACATCAACTATACTTCTGACTAGGTCTAATTGCGTTTCAATGTAAAAAACGCTTAATCCCACGGACAGTATCATATGTTTTTTTACATCGTGTTCAAATGTAACTTTTCATTTCCCCGTAAACACATAATTGACAGTATTGATAGACAAATGTTGTGAATGCTACTGAAAAAATACGGCTATTTCCGGAAGCACGAAATCGAATGCTATACGTCGCAGTGAATAATGATTGAATAATAATTGATTTAAGGTATAGTATTTGTACAACGTATTTTGGTAAATTCTTATGATAGAAGAGTTTAAATGATTAAAAAATGAGTTAAAAATATTGACCTTTACAAAATTACACAAATCATTAAAAAGATATCCACAGGAAACTACAAAATTCCAAAAGGTTATTAATCTAACCACTTAATTCTTGAAAAAATGTAACGATACATTTTATTGAATCATAAAATATAACAAGTATTATCAATGATATAGGAGGAGTAGAGTGATTTGATAGAGGACCTAATATTCTTAATAATTACAAATATTTTGTATAAGAAGTTATTACAAATGCAGAGCTCTTCACTAAGTTACAAACACATACTAATTATTATTACTAGCAGTCGTATAATAATATTGCTAACAATATTAGTGGTTGGATACAGATGGTACCAAACTGCAGCTACTGCAAAAATATCAGCATTTTCTAGTCGCACTAATCGTTCGACTGCGTGGGAAAAATTGTAATCTGTTTTTTTTAAGAAAGAAAATATCAGTAAAACAACAGAAGGGTTGACTCAGTTATTTAGGCTTTTTAAAAAGAATACCTCTTTTTATTTCGACAGAGATATATGCGAGCACGCAATTTAACTTTAAAGGACAATTTACTTTAAAAATACAACGCAAATAGCATCATATTAACATTTGAATCGCCTCTTCAGACACTTCCTCATCAGTTTCAACATTATTTCCACTATGCTTCCTTTTAAACGGGACATCGTGTTCATCTTGCGCACAGTTCAGGTATTTAAATAAAACCTGCTTGCAGAATCTTGAGGAAGGAGCTGATATTAACTGTTGTTTGAGAAGTGACCTTCGCAACTGTGTCTTTAGTGGCGGCCGTTTGCTGTCAGCTAGTGCTAGCTTTTCTATGCCAGCTGTGCGCATACTGTATAGTGGGCATAGCCCTCTCGCCAGGTCTGAACGCAACGAGCGCTCAGGTCACTCAGTCAGTGCATGATAATACCCATGGACAACAGAATATATTGTTAACCTTTATCGCGAGAAATAAAAGTTCCTTAACAGAAGGCGCCCTTAGCCATTTTCCTAATAAAGCAATACCCAGTAGATAACTATAAAACCTTTATAGTTAAAAACGATACATGTTAAGTCACACTTGGCACAGATCATTCTACACAAATGTCAAGGCAGACTGAACTGTCATATGCAAATTAACATTCTTTCTCCATTTGATCTTTTCTTTAAAAACATCGACGCGTTCATACAGTCGCTCTTCCGACGTAAACACATACACACATATATATATATATTTGAGACGCAGATGCAGTTAAAAGAAATGTCGCTATTAGCATTAAATTGCCAGCGCGGATCAGATTGATTTTACACATGAGCGGTCAGATACAGAAAAGAAAACTTTTAAGGGCTCTATTTTGGTCGCGTATTAAATGGGGGCTTCGTGTTTTCAAACTGCTATCTGCTAATTTGAAATGAAGACTACTGCCCCCGCGTAAATCCCAGCTCATGTCTTTTGGCTAACAGCGCAAGGAAATGCTCAAGGGGTGCTCTGCTTTGACCTGTCCGGCGCAGCACGTTTCAGTCTCGGCCAGCGCTGCTTTCCATAGGCTCGGGACTCGGCGAATATGCAAATACACCCACTGCGCCCGCCAAGCGGAAGTGAGAGGCTGAAGGCACAGAGGGGCTGAGGGCCGCCTCGGCTCCGACCAATGAGAGAGGAGGAGCCCCGTCCAAGTGCGCAGCTCCCCGTGACTCCTGCTAGCACCAGCGACGACAGCCAGAGAAAGAAAAGGCGCAGACCTGCCCAGTTCCAGAAACTCAGCCTCTTCTGGATCGCGTTCAACTCAACAACCAAAAAACCTCTCCAAACTCTAACAGAAAGAGGAAGGAAGATTAGGGGGAAAAAAAAAAAACAACGAAGTGCTCACTGCCTTGACTTTGACTTTGCCGCCTTTCTGCCAAGAATTCTCTTCCGGTGTTGTTTTAAAAGCATTTCTAGGTGGGAAAAAAAAGAAAAACAGAGAAAACACATTATTTGAACTTGAGAAATGTGAAGGTGCCGGCTTCTGTTTCACCCAGAATCCAGGATCCCCGTTTAATTCATGCAATACAGTGCAATGGTACGTGCTCATGGAATATACTGCTAATTTACTAATCTAGTACTACTAATGATTTGCAGCTGTTACTGTATTGCAATTTGCGTTGCTTTTCTCCTGAAAAAAAAAAATCACCTCCGTGCGTATTTGAAACAGGAGTGAGAGCTGCACAGGTTCTGCACATGCGAAAACTGCAGTAGATTTTCGATTGTTTATGTTTTGTTATTGGCAGCTTTTGTATGTAGGTCACAGTAATAATATGTCAGGAGTCGGCGGCGCTGCTAGAGTCCAAAAAGTGCTGAACTTGGCACATTTCCTGCGTTAACTTTTTTTTTTTTCTGGCAGTGAACTTCAGCTGGATTCTGTAGCGATGCCATGGATACCCTGGCAAGTTTGATCGTTGCTTGTTATTCAGATTGTCAGAAAACGTTACATTGCCCTAAAAAGTAGCGGTATACTTGGAAATATCGACAAAGAAATACCACTGGAACGCAAATGAACGTTGTCATTGTTAAATCCCGTGGTGGTAGTGACCGATGTGATTTTTTTTTTTCCTCCCAAATGTATTTTTTACGGTCTGAGGTGCATGCGGTTTTGCGGCGCGTTTGTCTTTCCCGTCCAGAAATACTCGGTCTGTTTCGGATTTTTTTTCCTAAAAAACAGCACGGTTTTGTCGCCGGTCCCACCCCCCCCCCTTCCTCTCCCAGCCTCGCTCTATTAAAATGCAGGCGAGATGTCTTCCATAAAGTTGTGGTTGAGCGCAGTGTGTGAACACTTGGCAGCTCGCAGGGCGAGGGGGTGGGGAAGGCAGATTCGACTTTGACACAAGATGCCGATGTGGCGTGATGTGAATTATTATTAGTCCCGCGAACAGGGCCGTCTTCTCCTCCTCCTTTCAGGACCGCAGTTGAACTTGAGACGAGACGGGAATGATCTCTCGAAGTTTTACAGTACTGCGAAGCTGTTTTAAAAAGGCGCCAAAAATAACAACATATTACTTCGGGGCATAAATCCTTTTGTACTAAATGTACATGACTTGGGAACTGGCAAGACACAAAACGGCAGTCACTTTGCCAGGCAGCTGTAATGTTAAGAGTTGCTTTCTCCCGCAAATAAAATATTAATTTGACTCATTTATGTTAAAAACCTATTGTCACACTCGTCCTGAAAAAAGTACCAAATATATCTCCTGTGTGGAAATGTCAGGATTTAAACTACATTTTAAATTATGTTAGGTGCTGTCATTTAACTTTGCTGTGAAACTTGTAATTGCCTTATTTCAAAAGGTGATTATTGCTTTTTTTTAAAAATTACAACAGAACTTATTTAAATATCTTTCCATTTGAAGCCTGTTTTTCGCGTTATTTTACTTCTGGCGGTGTTACACATTTAATATTTATTTTCTGGGTTTAAGACTGTATGTAACTAAGTATAATCTAAGCAATTCATTCTGTAATAAACATCTACAGTATATAGCGCCTTCATAAAGGCAATAAAATCAAAGCACATATATAAAATATGAATCGTTCATTTTTGCGCCGGTGAAAGCATGACGTTTACGTAGCTAGACATTTTCCCGGCATGGAAAGTACGTACAGATTTAAACAGATTTTAAGATAGCACTTGTTTTGCTTAATCATACAGTATTGTTGAGTCTCAGGCACAGAGTACAGTTAAATGTATGACTCGATAAGCGTGGGATAGTGACTTATCCAAATTTGATCATTTCAATAAAACCGTAAGTGCTGTGTTAGTGTGATTTACTAGGATTCACCAGTATATTACCTAGCGTTTCTTAACAATATTCAGATTTTGGAATGGTGTGTGCTGATTTAAACCACTCCAGCTCCGGAGTTCAGTGTTTTGTGTGATAAATCTTCACGGTAGCTTCTGCTCTCCTTTGCTTTTTGCCTGTAAGGTCCGATTTAATAAATTATTCCGGTGCGTTGAACCCGTTTCGAGTGACCGCAGTATGTTGCTAAAAATTTGACTGTTCGCGTGACGTGGTTTGGTTCTAAAAAATAAAAGATTGCATCAATGTTTATTTATTTTCACAGAGGGTTTTCAGTTAATCTTTGGCTGCACGAGTTCCTGAAATGGTTTGGAAATTGAAGGATTTCGTTTTCAGCAAACATCTTTATGCATGATTGCAAGAGTAAAGAACTACCTGCAATTAAATATTGGCAATGAGGTATGCGAGGGTTGGCATGTGGTCAGCGCACTTGTATACTGTAATTATTGTTGGCTGTAGCTATACTTTACTGTAAGGTTGTTGCTAAAATAGTTTTAAATGCGGTCTTAAGTGCAATGCAAGTTGTGAAGCCTATTCGCACCACTGTTTAGGCAGTATTTTACGCCCAAACATGTAGTCGTTTTTGTATGTAGGCTATTCATTGGGAGTAAAGATTATATTTTTAAACGCACGCGATGTTATAAAACATTTAATAAATATTAAGTGATTATTAAAGCACTGATCTGCAACTCGTTGAAGCTTAGAACCATTTTCGAGCTGTTTGAATAAAACCAGGAACATTCTCTTGGGATTTTGTGAAACGGGTTCAAGTTTAGGCAGAGCTAATTTTCGTGTACTTTAATGTTGAGGGCCGCGCAGGACAGTCACAGCGCTGGCATTTTATAGCTCAATCAGAATGAGTGTAAATGTGAAAAGTGTGTTACACAATGAGTATGAGGAACGTTATTAAATTGAGCTATCGTCGGAATGCGTTGTTCGCCTGACTTTCGTGAGGGCAAAGGTATTCGCTGCACTGCAAACATGTCAGCACAAACGCGGCCGCCTAACTTGTAGCTGCGATTTGCGTTTAAGCCCAAGGAAATTCAAAACCAGAACCGAAATATGAAATAAAAACAATGCGCTCATGCCGTCCGGCAATAGCTTCAGCCCCGCGAATGCCCGTTGGTACAGTATTGAAAGTGCTGGAAGTTCAAGTTCGCAAGCAGGCAGAGGGAAAGGCCTCAGAGCTCCGAGGAGCAGGAGGGAATTTTCCATTTCATTTCTGTGCGAGCTGGGGGGCTGGTCTAAAACCTTCCGCTCATAAAAAATCATACCTCTCTCAGAGAAAGGGGGGAAAAATCGTTTTTTATGCTGTGGTTTCTGCAATAGCAGGGAAAGTGGGCTGGTGAAAATGGAATGCGCTTGCTGGAAGAGGAGGAGTATGACTGTAATTAAATGAAAAAAAAAAATCTTGAGACTGATTTGTTGGGATCGAGCAGACTAGAGGGTGTAGCCGGTCGATATTATATCAAGTTTGAAAAGTAAACACGGGATCAGAAATTTGGCGCCTTCAACTTTTCATATTACATTTGTGAGAGATTTTGAAAATTATTTTTTATTTCAAATTGCGGTGGCGATTATTTTTATTTTTTTTTGTCCAATTCGGGATCAGCCGAATCGTCTTGGATGTTAACCGGAGGTTATGAAGTTCGTCCAGAATAAGAATAAAAAAGTATCGTTCCACCACGCAGCTCAATGGCTAAATGAGAAGTCCTGGTTCTGCAAAGCTGTTTGTCACCGTGAGATAAGTTTTTAAATTTTAAAAAAGTGTTCTTAAACAAGACTGTGAACACAGTCCAGCACGGTAGAATGAATCGATAAAATCAATCCACCTGATATTCAGAGGGAGTTTTGTAGCCCAAGTGAAGTAGCTTTCGTTAAGCAAGGACATGATGTATTCTCCAATTTGTCTAACGCAGGTATATTTCTTTGTAATTGTTACCGAATTATCTGATAACATTTGTTGTTGCTCTGTGCTTAAACCGCGGTAAACAGTGCTCCTCGTGCAGTGTCTGACCTGCTCAGCGAAGTTTAAAAAAATATTTTGAAAGTAACTTTGCTTTAAAAATAGATTATTGAAACGGGCACGGCACTCTGGTAAGTACCGAAAGAAAGCAAATCTTAATACAATGCTGAATATATGATAAATAGCGCTCTGTAAGGAATTTCTGTTTTTTTTTCCATTCGAGCTGAAGGTCTAGAAAAAATATTCACTATTTTGGGTTTGACCTGAATATGCAGAATTAGGTGGCAATTAGGCTCTTCTGCATGTCCTTTTTCTCATAGTATCCAGAAAAGGGGGAAAACCTGCTGACCTTTATGTATTACACTTGTGTGCTTGGTTGTGTGCAAGTACAATTGCATCAGCACATACAGGTTTTATCCAAGCATATCATGCTTTTTGGTGCTTAATGCATTCTGTGCTAATTTTATTTATATATTAAAAGCGATACTTTTAACAAAGAGTTTTTTTCTTCTAGAATTCAAGAACCAAAACATAGTTTCATTTCAGCAAACTAGTCAGATTAATGATTGGCGGTACAGCGTGTAAAGTCGGTCATGATAAAGCTGTATTCAGTGAACTAGTGCGCATTTTATTTGTCAGGATTTATTACAACGCAAGGATAATTTATCTGGAACGAATTGGATGAGAATATCCACTGCGTTTATTGAGGGAGAGAGAAAATAAATGGTCGTTTACCAACGTTGCTGAGCACCTGAAGCTCTTTTAAAATGAACCTTTTAAAACGGGCTTTTACACAACAAAACCACTGGAATTTTAAATACTGAAGGGGAGGCACTCGTAAATTGTGAATGAAGATGCAAACGATGATAAGGTTGATTCAGTGGTTGGACAGAGTCCCCTAGCTTTTTGGCTGACACAATTTTACTGTTTATATTTTGTTTGGCATCAGAAGGTGATTGACTGAGATATGGTTTATTTTATGTAAGGGGACATTATAAGGCTGTGGCACAATTTAGTAAACTAGGTAATAAACGGTTTATCTGCAAGCGTGACAATTGAATTTATTAAGCAGGTATTTAGAATGTAATAAATCACATTGGTGTGGTAAAAGTAGTGGGTTTTGATCAGAATTGAACTGCTGGCATCATCAGAACGATTGCTCTACAATTTAACGTTTCCGTTGTTAAATTAATCTGGCTTGTTTTTGTAGGCTAGAAATATGATTATGAAATATACAAGAGTGTTTATGAAATCTGCTGTTAAAAGTGGACAATATCATAGATCACTAGCAAGGAGTGGTTCCACACTGATAAATGAAAATGATCAGGGAGGCTTTGAAAACAAGCCTGTTAAAATAAGTTATTGATAGAAGATTTTCAGCATTAATATAGTTAAGTTCTTCAGAAGCCTTTTAAAATCAATATCCACTGTGTAGAACATTATTTGTAATTAGTTCTGGTTTTTTTCATACTATTTTTCAGTCACAGATGGGAATCTAGGACCACATGAGACTTAACCTTTTCTTTTCTCTACTCCACATGCTGTTTGTATGAGTTTTTTAGATATCCCATCAGCTAGATTTAGTAGTATGGTATTTAGAACCCGTTGGCATTTTTTACCAGCACACCTGAAGATTAAGAAATTGTTATTGTGTTGTAAATTTTAATGTTGAGATTTTGGTATTTTTAAAATGGTAGATGATTTTTTTGCCCATTGGCTTTCAATCCTGTAAATTTATGAAAATACATTTGGTAGTCATTAATGTTACTGGCAATGAAAGTGCAAATCTAGCTTAAAATGTGCATTTACCTAAGGAAGTTCTCGGTGTGTTTGTACTGTGCTTGTACAGAATTAACCTCTGCCTTTTCTTTACAACTGACTTGGTTTTGGAAGTAAGCAATTAGGAAATCGAGGCACAGGCGTTAAATACATTTTCAAAGTTTGTTGCAAGTTTTTTTGTATTGCAACAATATTTTTATTGTCAGTGTCAGTTTGGAAAAAATGTTTAATGTCAAATCAAGGTGGTTTATTAGACTCAGTTTACTTTCAGTTGACGCAGTGAGTCTGTGTGTGTATATATGGGTAATTACTAATTACTTCCTTATATATATATTTCCAAAGTAAAGCTTTCACAGTTGTTCCATGCAGTGCTGACTTCTCTGCTGTCAGAAATACAGATAGGGAGTGTATTACTTGCTGTGGTTACCCAAAGCACTGCTGCCTTCCCACAGAAAGCACAATCTGTGGTTTAACCCTTACAGTGGCCTATTTAGATCAACACAATTACTAACGTTTCTGTTAAAAGTCAGGCGCACCACAGAAATGCTGGTTATTTAATCTGGTGCCCAATTTCAAACGCATGCCGTATACTAATAGGCAGACAATAGGTCTGTAGTGCTTATTTAAGTATCTGTTTAGGAATGAAATGCCTGGATCAAAAAAAAAATTTAAGGAGGGCACAGTGCTATTATTTCTGTTATTGCTGTTATTTATGTGCAAAAACACAGAACACTGACATTAATGTGTCATAAATATTTAGCAAAACGTTTTGTATATTTGTGCAATTGAGTTTTGTTGCACATAAAAAAAAAGATTTGATTTGCTAAAATCTGCAATCTGATCTTTGCATTGGTCCTTGTGTTACAGAATAAGCTCTGTGAAGTCTAAAAATGTATTGCTTTAGATTTCAGTGCTAAGAAATAATTTGGCATTCAGTAATGTTTTTTGTGATTATGAAGTTTTACAGTAACATCTCACATGCAGAGAGTTGTTTTATACAGAAAGGAGAAAAGGAGCTTATCATAAAAATGTTCTGGCTGTTAAACTAGCAAACACTAATGGTCCAGTGCAATGTAACAGGTCCAACTTTGGGCACTGAAACAGAATGTATATGTGCTCTGTAAAAAAAGAAAAGGTGTCGATGCTACGAGTCGCTGTTCAGCAGCGTACTTTTAATGTCACCTTTGTCACAGCATGCAGAGCAACAAAGAATGCAAATTCTGTGCCAAGTTGCCATTTTCATTGTCTGTTTTGGATTGATTTTCAAGGGGGTTAGAATAATTGCCATGCACTTGTGATCAGCTCGCAAATTAACTGACTCTATGGGACCTCAAATCCCAACTTAAAAAACCGCGGGCAGAGCAGGCTTTGGCCGCGGAGCGTAAAGTTTTTGCTTCTCTCTTCATCTCACTCCTCCGTCACGGGAAGTGCCTTTAAAGGCAAAGGTAAATATTCCCCGTCAGGAGGAGGTGTGTGTAAGGAGGGGACCTTTTTCATTTTGTGCAACGTGTTCTGCGCGGGTTTTTGGCCACGGTCCCTTGTCGGAGCCCGCGTGCTCTGGTTACCAGAGCGGTGCTGCTACTGTGCAGGAATGTAGGACGGGGTTGATAAGAAGAATGGCCGGCGGACGAGCGCGCATGCTCCGTGTGCCACCAGCAGTCTCTTGCCGAGAACGTGCTCCCGGAGCGGGAACAGCGTGGTGTGGCTGAATCTGTAGGCTCTGTGCTGCTGTGGCACGGGCAGAAGGGAGCGAACTGTGGCATCCGCTTGCAGGCTCTCTCAGCCCTTCCACCGAGGTTGCCCAGGTTCAGCTGCTGCAGCCTGCTCTGCGATGGTAGTAAAATGGAGCTAGCGGTAGCAGCTCAGTTGTGTGGCCAAATGGTCTTTTGATGCTCGTGGCAGTGGAATGTGAACGCAAAGGGGATGACGGGTGGCAGAGAGAGAGAGATGTAATGAACGGGCGTTTGATTCAGGCGTTGGTATATCATGGATAAAAATGCCTTCTCTAGTTAAACCACGACCCTTAACCAGTGAAATTTGTAATTGCGTTCAAACGCGTATCGCACGCCTCTGTCTTTGCCGTTTTCTAGGACGTTTCGCCATCCCTCAGTGTTGTACATGATCGGTATTGTTTCCTTTTTGGCGGAGCCGGTGATGGGTTAATTGGACAGTAACTGCTTGCCAGAAGGTCACTTCTGCTTCACGGTTGTTCCTGTTGTTAACTTTCCCACCCCCCTTCTTGTGCTCTTTCCTCTCTGACTGCAGGATGAGTTTCACCCTTTCATCGAGGCACTTCTTCCACATGTCCGTGCGATCGCCTACACGTGGTTCAACCTCCAAGCCCGAAAGCGCAAGTACTTCAAGAAGCACGAGAAGCGGATGTCGAAGGATGAGGAGCGCGCGGTCAAGGACGAACTGCTCGGCGAAAAGCCCGAGATCAAGCAGAAGTGGGCGTCCAGGCTGCTGGCCAAGCTTCGCAAAGACATCCGCCAAGAGTACCGGGAGGATTTTGTGCTCAGTGTTACGGGGAAGAAACATCCCTGCTGCGTGCTCTCCAACCCTGACCAGAAGGGAAAGATCCGCAGGATCGACTGCCTCAGGCAGGCCGACAAAGTCTGGCGCCTCGACCTGGTCATGGTCATCCTCTTCAAGGGCATCCCTTTGGAAAGTACGGATGGAGAGAGGCTCGTCAAATCCCCACATTGCACAAATCCAGCACTTTGTGTCCAGCCACACCACATAACAGTATCGGTCAAGGAGCTGGACTTGTTTCTGGCTTACTATGTCCAGGACCAAGGTAGGTGTGCGAAGCAGGCTGGGAGACTGACCTGGCACGTCTGTGCTTTGCTAGTAAGAATCCTGTTTTCAAACCCAGGGAGTGAAATAATGCTGTGCAACGCTGGTATCTCCAGTACCACAGAATGTCAAATAAAACAAGAGTGGGAAGTTAGCCAAGTCTTTCTCAGTTTTTACTTCATGAACAATTAAAACACAGAAGATTAAAGTCAAACCTAGAACCTGAAACCACAAAAGTAAGCTTTTTTATTTACAGCTTCAATCACTGAAGCATACATGAGCTGACACACACTGTTCCCCCTATCTTATCTTCTTATATCCTTACTGAAAGATAAATTTCCTCTTGAAACCTAGGGAATTATAAAAATTCAGTACAGGTAGGAACAGTAATCACTGAATTGCCAAAACAGTTCTGGTGGATGTGTAGTGGTACTGAACATTTGTGATTTAGGTTCTGATTTTTAAAGCAATTTGGATTTAACAAGGAGCAGTCACAAAAATGTGAAGAGTGTTTATTTTAAAAATGGTTTGAGATGAACAAAAAGGACCACATCATACTGCTTGTGATTTTAGGATTTCAGAAGCACAAATGCATGCTTCTGGCTGCACTGTGTACGTACAAAAACCTCTTAAATATAATGAATTTACTAATCCATTTCAGCAGGATGTTTCTTTCATAGAGTATAGTAAGGGAGTGCTGTTTTGGGATTGAAAAAGAATTTGCTTCCTTGAATCTCAAACTTACATTGTTGTACACTTGTGTATAAGATTACTCTTGAACTTTGACCTGAATCCAGGGTGTTTGTCAGAAATGGTGTCCTCCAGATCTCTGGTAACGTGTGCATGAGAGCTTACTGAAATCTCAATCCTTTACCTCCTAATGTGTAGCAGTTCTGCTAATGTAAAGCACTGGGGAAAAAAATAAATTAGCCGCCGTAACGATTTCATACCTGTTTTTCTTTACCTTTCAGAGGAAGTGGTGGAAAATGTATGATATCTTGATTGGATGAATTGTAATTGAAATTGCAGTTTTTTGTTTTGTTCAGTCAGATTTAAATAGTAAAATTGAATACCATAGGAAGGCTACATGTGCATCACGTCAGATTGAAGAACAATTTAAATGACTTTCTCAGATAAAAAAGAGGCTTACGTTTTCTTAAGATCGCATACTGTATGTGATATCATGCTATACAAATCTAAAAGTAAATCACCTTCTTCATTGCCCTGGTAGTTTCTCAAAATGAGAATCTTTGATTTTTTAAATTAATCAGTTGATGTTTTTCTTTCATAATTAATACTTTATCAAAAGAGGGGTCCAAGGGGAAGAAGCCCATCCTGTTTAAAAAACGCGACGATGTGTCCTTTGATAACAGCTGAGCAATGGAAAAAGCAAATCTAAATATATTTTTACTGTTTCTGTACAATCATTAAAATAAATGTTGCCTTCAAAATAGTTTGCATAAGCAAAATAATCTTTATTGTTGAAAACCAAAAACGCCATTGAAAAGGCAGTATTCATGTCTTTTTCATAAATAATAAGCATTTCATGAATAATATCACGAGAATTCTAAAACCATAGTTGGGGTGTTAACATAGCAAGAAAAATAATGATTAAATTGAAATTACTTAGGTTTGAAAATATATTTGAGTAAAATAGAAATGGTTATGACTGAATTTCTTGAAATCACTTTTCTGATCGGAGAGATTGCATAATTGTGTGCACACACAAGGAAAAACAAAATGTGTAATTCTGCTTTTTGTTTTTAAATGCCTCTGGAGAAAGAACAACTCATTATTTAATGTAGATTTTAAATAGCTTTGGTGTTCATATTTTCTGAAAGCTAATTTGTGAACAACGAATTTGAACATAGCCATCTTATTTATTCAAGTTGCAAGTACAATCTAAATTGACAAAGCTGTGAAGTTGAAATCCCCCCTCTTCTCAAATAGATGTTCTGTAATTGGAATGCTTATGCTTTAAAAGAACTTATCCTAAATTACTTGTGGAAGACAGACTGGGTAGCAAATAACTGCAAAAAAAAAAAGCCTGTGACCACTAAACTGTGAACGTCCATTTTGTGTTTGTGAAGTGCCAGGGGAAAGCAGAAGGGATTGTGAAGTGACAATAATGGTTGCCACTGGCACCAAGGTTGGCATCAGACCCTCTTTGTCTCGTTGTAGGATTCTGCTGATTCGTTGGTTGGAATCCGCATTGCAGTCTTAAATCTGTTTGGTATAAATCTATATCTTTATACATAGAGCAGAATCTCCTTGTCCTCTTGTCTGTCTGCAGAGGCTCTTTTAGTGTAGAGCGTGTTTATCTTCTATTATTTCAGAGAAATTGTAGTTAAAGTTATAGTGGCTTTGTTAAAAATTCTGCCTGTGCATACAGTATATCTGACACTGATGCGATGGCCCCTGTCTTTTCTAATGCTTCACTGATTGTTTTTTTTGAACCCTTGAACACCTCCTTCTGCAGAGGTCTAGGCAGACATAGAAACTGTAGCATTCATATACTATATAATTATTGTCCCATATTTCTGCTTTACTGCTTGATGTTTCTGTTAAACCTAGCTGCTTTTTTAAACAAAAATAAAATAATGTCCGAAGTTCCGGTGTTCCAGGGTGGATGAGGAAAGTTCTGCGTTTGGTCTTCTCGGTACTTGGGCTTGTCCTCTGTGAACCACAGCAGGCAGTATGTGAAGGTGAGAAATTCCATACTGTAGATACTGAATTTATAAGAATCTGAGTTTCTCGTAACTACTATCGTTCGGTCACACACACACCTCTCCTCCCCGAATGTTTAAAATGTAGTTTGTGTTACTTTTTGTGCAGCTGTTTGTCAAACAAATGGCTCAGTTCTTTTAATCTTTTTTTAATTATGCGCAGCCTATGCGTCCCGAGCTTTGGAATTCGAACTGCTTTTTTAGCGTTCCTCCTTGGACAGGTATCTTTAAAATGGCACGAGAGCCCTAGTCTGTGCGTTGACGGCCACCGCGGATTGGTATTCTTCAGTTTTATGTTAATACTTTATGAATAAGCACTTCACTATTGGCCGGGGAACCAAACAAGTAAACACCAACAAAAAGAAAAGGCTTAGCATTCATCTGCCTAGTGCCCATCTCAGGACAATGCAGCCACATTGTGCAAACGCGCTGAGCGGCGCCATTTTGTTTGTGAAGTGCCAGGAGAGAAGCAGGGAAACCGCTTGATGCCAGTAATGGTTGTTAGTGGTACGGAGGTTGGCATCAAACCCTCTTTGTCTCCTTGCAGCGTGCCTTTGATTCGTTGGTTGGCATCCGCAATGCAGTGGGCACACAGGAAAGTTTCTGCCAGGCGCAGAATGGGAGCCGCTGCGCTTTGTGTGGCTGCAATTAGAAAAAACGGAAACGCACAAAATGCAACACCACCTCTTGAGAACAAATAAAAACGAAGATGGGTCACCGACGTAACAAATGCGTGGCTTATGAGGCGAAGTCTTTTATCAGCTCGCTGTTTTCCTTTTTGCCACAAAACCTCAAGCCCACAGCAAAACCTTCTGCCTCTTTCACAGGCCTTTGTTAACCTGCCAGTTCGGTCTTCTGTTGGCCAAAATGCGGAAATCCAGCTACGTTTTATTTGCCCTTGCTATAGAAATGGAAAAATAAGGAATATCAAGAGGCAGGGTTATATTTAAATGCATTTTTTTATCTAAATTGAAATATGAAATATGATGAAAGGTACTAGCATGTTCGCATTTTTATTGCTTCTTTATATATTTATCGTTTTGTGTAAATAAAAATACTCCAGTGTGCCGAGAATAATAAAACCACGGAAGATTATTTAGTGATAACTATTAATAACATTACTGTCGTAGCTTTTGCTAACTCCCATTTTCAGGGGTAAGAAAGCGCGGTATTTGGAGTGTATACAGACACTTATTATATTTATTTGCTGTTTCAGCTAGGGCGTCCTTCGTGTGGGAGTACATGCAGACTTTCTTAATGTATTGATGTCTAATGATAGCTGTACCTGCAGCCTGTGGCAGTAGATCCGGTGGCTGGGGTCAGTCTTCAGGACCGAGCGCCCCTAAAGGTGAAACTGGTGGAAAATGAGACCGGGGCACCCCCGCCCCCTAAATTCAGGCAGGTTTCATTCAGTCTCAGGACATCGCTGGATACTTGTGGTTGAATTCTCCCCATTTATGTCTTAAGAAGATGGATCATACTGTAGGTGTAGCCTTCCTGTGCGTTTATAGTTTTCCAAGTCCAGCACATGAGAAAGTGCCTGAAATACCGCCTGAAATTGGGCGTCGTGTCCTCTACAAAGCCGCGCTGCTCTCCGCCCTTGTGGAAAGGGGTTTTGAGCGAGCTCCCGGCGGAGGGGATGGGAGTGGGGTCCTGTCCCCATGCAGAACCTGGCACCGGTGGAAGAATAAGACCCACGGTGGGAGCCGGGGAGAGGGGAGGGGCCGGCGGACATGTGCAGCTGTGCTGGATTTAGAGGCTGTGGCAGCTCTCGAGAAATCTGGCACCGCCTCGTAGTCCGCGCCAGAACGGGAACATGAGCAGCTCTGGGGTTTTTTCCTCTCTCTTTACAGTACCGTAAGAAAAAAATTAGAAACAAAAAAAATAATGTAGTAAGAGAACAAAGTGGCCTGATTCTCATTACAAGAAAAGGACAGTCAGACATAACTGTGCTTTTCCCTTATGTATATTTTCGTGTATTGTCTTGATCTTTTGACTCCTAAAACAATGAAATAACTCCCATTTGTCTTTTGGCAAGCCTACAGGAGATTTCCCTGCTCAACTCTTAACTTGATTAAATACAGTTGTGGACAAATGGTGTTTTGTGCCCTTTACAGAATGTGGGGTGTGCAGTCTTTTCTCCTTTTCACAGAATTGTATGATGTTACTCTGTTTAGCACGCCTGACCCTTCATAGTGAAGTTTTGTAAATACTCCTAAACTAGCATACATTTGTTGAAATTTCTGCACACTTACAATTATTGTAGTAGCACTTA